AAGTGTAGAATATAAATGTCTTAACACAATAACTAAGAAAATGCCATGAAGGCTATGTTAATCAGTTTGGTGAAAATATTTCAAATTGTATATAAAACCAGCACATTGTACCCTATGATTGTATTAATGTACAGAGCTATGATTTAATAAAAAAAAATCTGAATGGATGCTGAAAAAAATGTCTGAAACGTACTATATGCCTTTCTGGAATCTCTGAAGATAATTATGCAGTTTTTCTTTATTCATCTATTAATATGGTAAAAATAATAAATATCCTAATGTAGTTTAATCTTTGCACTGTACTGAGATACCATTTTTCACACTTTAGAACGTAAAGATAAAAAATTTTGGTTAGCACCATATTGGGTAGGATATAGCCAAGCAAGAGCCACTCTTATGCAGATGGTCTCGATGTACAATGGTTCCAACTTATGACTGAGTTTGGTGTGAAAGCAATACATATTCAATGGAAACTATACTTCGAATTTTGAATTTGATCTTTTCTCAGGCTAAATGACCTCCAACTCCTAATCAGCCATATGATCCTGAGGCTAGACAACCAATACTAGTCTACAGCATATTAAATGCACTTAGGACTTACGACATTTTCAACCCATGATGGCTTTACTTAGATATAACCCCATTGTATGCGAAGGATGGGTGAGGAAGCATTAACTGTACAGTGTATCTGTATTTGTTGGGGGAAGCATGAATTTGTGTATTCTCTCTCACTGGAAGAAATTCTGGCTATTTTAAATATTTATAAACATTATTATGGCATTGTTTAGAGTATAAAAAGATTGGCAACAATCCAAATGTTTTTCAGTGGGGGCTGGATTACATAAATCATAATAATCCATGTACATATGTATCACTATACTTTGTGGCTATTTTAAAAGAATATAGGGTGATATGGAAAATTCAGTTACCTTTACAAAGCAAGCTATAGATCAATGCAATGCTTTTATTTACACAAAGATACTCACATGGAATATATAACAACGTAAAGGTATTAGATGTTAATTTGGGGAGGGGGAGTGAAGTTAAGTTGAAAGCTAGGCCAAAGGAAGACTGAGAATGAGCTTTTTATACCCCCCCCCCTTTTTGTTTGAGACAGGCTCTCACTCTGTCACCCTGGGAAGAGTGTCATGGCATCACAGCTGGGACTACAGGCACCTGCCACAACGCCTGGCTAGTTTTTCTATTTTTATAGAGACAGGGTCTTGCTCTTACTCAGGCTGGTCTCCAACTCCTGAACTCAAGCAATCCACCCACCTCAGCCTCTCAGAGTGTTGGGATTACAGGCGCGAGCCACCGCTTCCGAATACCTTTTTTGACCAACCCCCTGCCTCATGAAACCTTAAAAAATGCATGCAACCCTTGGCTTTAAAATTCTACTTCTAAAAATTTATTAATATATACAATTTTGTACATGTATGCAAAGATACATGGTACAAAAGCTATTCACTCGGGAGCATTTACAACATCAAGACCAAAACCACCCAAATGTCATTGGAAGTTGGTTAAATAAATATTGCCAAACAGGGCGGCACCTGTGGCTTGGTGGGTAGGGCACCAGCCCCATATACCGAGGGTGGTGGGTTTAAACCTGGCCCTGGCCCCTGGTCAAACTGCAATAAAAAAAAAA